GTGAAAAAACTCACTTTATTAGCAAAACTTGATCAATGATCCTAATCAAGTCTACTAATAAGGGTGTAAGAGATGGGCCTTGAAGATTTGCAATTCGATCCAATAGGGTTCAAGTGGACTTTCCCCTTTTGAATGAGAATTGGGCCGAATGGGTTCACTTCAACACTTGGGCTTCTCTTTGGTGGACTTGAGCTTCCTTGTTGGGCTTGGACTTGGAATGGTTTGGGCCGAAGTGCTTGGGCTCTTCTCCCCTTGGAACTTGCTGTGGCCGAATCTCTCTAATGCTTTCCACACTCCACAATCCAAGTGTGTTTAGGACTTGGAGTGAACTCTTTGATTCAACCGAATTAGCAAGTGTTTGGGACTTGTAATTCCTGTCCACTCATGTTTCAAGTGTTTAGGACTTGTAAACGTATCAGGAACATATGCAGAATCAAAAACTTTTGCAGTTTCTCATGGGATTGAATGAGACATATGTGCAAGCAAGAGGACAGATCTTGATGATGAATCCACTGCCTAGTATCAACCAAGCTTATTCCATTTGTGACAGAAGAGAAAGTCAAAGGAGCATAATAGGATCTACCGCATCAGAATCTTCCCTGGAATCCACTGTCTTGTACTCATCCTCATCATCACAGCAACAGTCCAAGGGAAAGAAAAACTGGAATATCATTTGTGAACACTGCAATGTGAAAGGTCATAAGAAAGAAAGTTGTACAGGTCATTGGCTATCTCCTAACTTAAGTTCACCAAAAAAAAATTCAAAGGAAATCAATCTTCAGTCAAAAGTTTCAGCACCATCTACATCTGCAGAGCCTAACATTTCAGGATCCACTCTTAGTATTCTCCAAGGAACAATATGAAGAGATCCTCAAACTCTTGAACAAGATTCACATACTTACAGCAGATGGAATGGTGAATATGGCAGGTAAAAATGTTTTTTATCTTACTAGGTGAAAAACAATCTTGGATTCTAGATATAGGGGTAGTCATCATATGTCCCCTTGTATTGACCTATTATCAGAATTAACATCCTCACTGTTTCTACATCAGTTCGACTGCCTAATGGTCATGTGTCTAAAGTTTCTCATATTGGATCACATTATCTTGCTGCTGACCAGAAACTTACCAATGTTCTCTATATTCCTGATTTTAAATTCAACTTGATTTCAGTTGCAAAGATGACAAGAGATTTGTCGTTTCATCTCTTTTTTCCTAATTTTTGTATACTTCAGGACCTCTTCAGTGGGAAGGTAAAGGGGATTGGAGAGAAGCTGAAGGTTTATATTTCTACTGCCTCTCAAACATCATGCATCACCAGCTGTGCTTCCACATTCATCGGCTGTTCCTAAGGTTCCTCAAGTTTAACAGTACATGAAGAGCCTTCTACTTTGCCTAAACTTGTTGTTTATCTCTATTGAAATGTGGCATAAAAGACTTGGCCATGTGCCTATTCACAATTGAAATATTTTCCTTCAATAAAGCTTACTCATAATGATATACAATGTGTGGTTGATTGCAGAATATGCCCCTTAGCTAAACAAGTCAAATACCATACTTCAAGTATACTAGACATCTCACTTTTGATTTATTGCATATGGATGTTTGGGGACCTTATGCTCATTCCACAGTTGATCATCATAAGTTCTTTCTACTATTGTAGATGATCATACAAGAATCACTTGGGTTTTCTTAATGAGACATAAGTCAGAAACCATACTTCATCTTCGAAAATTGTTTTTGCTGTCCAATCATTTTTTCTTTTCTATCAAAGTCATTAGATCAGATAATGGGGAGAATTTTTTAACACTAATTGCACTGAGCTGTTTACATCCTTGGGCATCTTATCAGAGTTCTTGCGTTACACCCCCAACAGAATGGGGTGGCGAACGCAAACACAGGCAGCTGGATGTAGCTAGTTCCTTGAAAATCCAAGCGGAATTCCCCTTCAAACTGGGGAGACTGCATTCTTACTGCCTGTTATTTGGTGAACAGGTTATCCTCTCCTGTTTAGGCAACAAATCCCTTATGAAATGTTGCATGGCACATACCATCAATTGCTCATCTTCGGGTATTGGTTGCCTTAGTTATGAAATCATTTCACCTCCACATAAAAGTTTGCTAAGAGAGCCATTCCAGCAGTTTTCATGGGATACTCAGCAACTCAAAAAGGTATAGATTGCTGAATTTGGAAACTAACAGGTTCTTGTCGAGTAGAGATGTCAAGTTTGTTGAGAATATTTTCCCTTTTCTTTCTCAATCTTCTTGCAGCTTTGCCTCCTTATCATTCTCCTTCATCTGCATATCCTGATGATCATGAGTTCTATTACAAATGTTACCGATTGATGTACCATAGCAGCCTTCTCCACTTGAAAATTCACCTGTACCAACTACTTCATCTGAGTCCTCTGAACCTGTCCCTTCCCTGCTTTTCCTCACCTACTATATCTCCTCAGTCCTTAGAATCCTCTAGGACTGTTAAACCCCCAATTTGGCTTACTGATTATGTCTCCCCTGCTGCTCATTATGTGATCACCAATATGTTTCTTACAAAACATCTTACACACTCCTATCAGTGTTTTTCAGTGCTATCTCTCACATACATGAGCCTACTACATATGAAGAAGTTGTTCAAGACTCCAATTGGGTGGCTGCCATGCAGGCAGAATTAGCTACTTTAGAGGCTAACAAAACATGGACTTTAGTTCTCTCCACCAGGCAAATCTGCCTAGGATGCAAGTGGGTTATTAAGGTCAAGTATCACTCGATGGCAGCCTTGAGAGGTATAGGCACGACTTGTAGCCAAAGGATACAGCCAAAGGAAGGCATTGACTATATGACACATTCAGTCCAGTTGCTAAAATGGTAACCGTAAGGAGTGTCTTGGCTTTAGCATCCATTAAGGGTTGGCCACTTATGCAAATGGACGTATACAATGCATTTTTACAGGGGGACCTTTTGAGGAAGTTTACATGGAATTACCAAAAGGTTTCACAATCAGGGGGAGCCATTGGTTTGTAGATTGCTCAAACCCTGTATGGATTAAGACAAGCCAGCAGCAATGGAATATCAAGCTGACAGAAGCATTGATCAAACATGGATATCAGCAGAGCAAATAGACTACTCTCTATTTACTAAAAGAAATGGCAATAAGATAGTGATTTTATTGGTTTATGTAGATGACCTTTAATCACTGAAATAATCAAGAGATGCTACAAGACTTGAAATCTGTTCTACAAAGGAGCTTCAAGATAAAAGATCTTGGTGAGCTGAAGTATTCCTTGGCATTGAGATGCTAGATCAAAGGAAGGATTTGGTTATGAGGCAGAGAAAATATGCGTTGGAATCATATCAGAAGTTGGACTAGCCGATGCAAAGCCTGCAAGACTCCACTGAACCGAATTCAAAACTTACTTCATTGTAATATGATCAACAGTTTGACCTGCATCAGAGGATAAGCTTAGAAGATTCATCATTTATAAGGGTTGATTGGTAGGTTGCTTATTGACTATGACAAGGCCTGCAAGGCCTTTTCTGTTCAAACACTTAGTCAATACATGCATGCACCTAAAGAGTCCCACTTAGAAGCAGCATAAGAGTTGTTAGGTATATTAAACAAAGTCCTGTATGGGGTTGTTAATGCCCTCAAGTAATGAAATGAAGCTTGTTGCATATTGTGATTCGGATTGGGGAGTTGTCAGATGAGTAAAAATCAGTGAGTGGATATTGTTAAGCTTGGAGAGTCTCTTATATCGTGGAGTCAAAAAACAGGTACTATAGCTAGATCATCTGCTGAAGTAGATACAGAGCATGGCAGCATGTGTATATGAGATAGTTGGTTACTTGGTGTGTTAATGAATTAGGAATAGAAGAAATAAACCTTTGTTGTACATTGTGATAACAAAGCTGCATTACAAATAGCAGCCAATCCAATGTATTATGAGAGAACAAACACATGGATTGACTGCCATTTTACAAGAGAAAAATCCGCAAGGAGTCATACGCACAGAGTATATTGCAACTGGAAATCAGATTGCAGATATTTTAACTAAAGGTTAGGTGTACAACGCATGAGAAATTAATAGCCAAACTGGGTATTAAGGATATCTACAAAGTGTCAACTTGAGGGGGAGTGTTGAGTTTGTTGAGAAACAAGTTGACGAAAGAAGAAGCAAGTTGATGAAGAAGAAGCTGAGCTGTGAGAATCAGTTATGCTGAGTGCTAAGCTGGATGTTTTAGTTAAGAGTTTGTTATTTTTCTAGTTAGAGTTAGTTAGACAGTTATTCTACAAGTTGTATATATATGTATATGGATGTAAACGTTGATTAAGTAAGAAAATAATTTTTTTCTTCTCTTCATTTTACTTTCAGTACTTCCAAATATATTCTTAACAAACACAAATTTGAAATAAACAAACAACTCAACATTCATGCGGTTAGATATCAGTGTGAGCACAGTGAATCAAGCATGTCATAACATTGACTCTCAAAGTGGCGACATAGACACAAAGGAAGCAAACCTTAAACACTTATAAAAAAAAATATTTAAAAAAGAAATAAGACGAGATGGTCATGAGATCAATCACAAAATTTCATAAGATTTAAGGAAACAAGTCATATTGATCTGATTAGATGACACTCAATTCATTTCTCAACCTTTGAAAGAAAATGCATAAGGAGTATCTCATCCCATGAAATTTCAATAACTTAAAACAATCATTCCTTTAAGTCATACATGATCAATAATAAGCAAGCATTCTTCATCATATGTGTGTGTTGTGTCCTCATGGGGTGAGTATGACTCATTGGTCAATTTTGAATTATGAACAATTCCCCATTCGCTCATTCCCCTTTTCTTTTTATCTATTCTTTTTCTTTTGAATATAATCTCAACTTTTGGTTTCTCTTTCATAGCAATGGAGATTAAATAGGCATATCTCTCCAGAAGGTAGCTACAATGCATAATGTACTAGAATTAATACATATGAGATTAAAGCAACTGTACTCGATGATATATAGTTTTCCACTTCTCTGTTTCTGTCATTCCATAAAACGTTTACTATCACTTTACCTTTCATAATACACTACATTTTATTCATATTTCTTTTAATATTAAAATAACTCTTTAATTAGCCGGCAGATAGTAACAAGTATATCCAATAGCTCAGTCTTCTTCCTCTCTGTTGCTCTCCATTCTCTGTAGAAAAGAGTACGTTTACTTGAATGGAAGAGAGAACTACTCATATAGGTTGAACGAATTACGTGCAAGAGGAGAAGAGATTGCTGCCTCAAGAACAAGATGAGCGGCACAGAAGCAATTACGGAAACAGTAATAACAAACACCAGCATTTCATGGTCAAAGACAATAAAAAAGAATGAACAAAAGATTACAATCATAGCTGCTATTGATGTAGAAAGTGTCAAAAGTCCTGCGGCAAACTTTGCAGGTAACCGAAAAAGGTAATCTTCTTCCTTATATCCAGAAGTATAAAGGGAAAGAAAGGTTATAATTGAGGTAGTGGAGGATATAAGGGATATGGCAAAAGAAACTTTTTGAATGAAAACGGGAACCCCTGCACCTCTTTTGTTATCAGTTGGCACAGTGAAAGTTGCGGTGAAAACCACAGAGGTGATAAGTGTTGCCACAAGCATGCATGAGTTTGCAGTTTCCTTTATCCATTTCTCCCCTACTGCCATTAATTTCATGTGTTCAGCATTAAATAAATCTCTAGGCGTTTTCCCGTCATAATTTTCAGCTTCAGCATATAATGGGTGTACAACCTTATTCACTTCCTACACAATTAATGTTACGGAATTAAACCAATTAATTAATGCAAAAAAAAAAAAAAAAACCATTGGTTTTTACACAGAAAGAAAGGAGTAAATATTTTACCTTAAACCACAACAACTCTCGTTGCAGCTGGAGAGCTTCTCCTGACACAATACTAAGCCGATCAGGCGGTGCAAGCATTCCAGCCAAATGCAAGATATTGTTATCTTCTCTATCTCTAAATGTAGATATAAAATCCTTGAATGAACCTATTTCATATATAAGTTTGAAGATTTCGTCCTGACGATACAGAACAGCGTAATGAAATATGCTGCGGTTATTTTCGTCGACTTTCAAAATCAAACCAGGATATTCATATATAAGTATTTTTAGAAAATCAACATTTCCTTGTCTTGCAGCAACAAATAATAGTCTCCAAGGTTTTTCAATTAGTTCTGATATCTCCAAATCGCCCGACAATATAACTTGTTGCCAAATGCGCTCAACTAGTGTAACAGCTTCTGGGTGCATTTTTTTGTTCTGAACCGTATTGGTACCTAAAACTGTGAGTATTGTATTAGGTGAAGCCATGAGGCTGAGATGATCAAGGATGAAATTGAATTCATTATAAACATATACATAATTATGAATTAAATAGGTTGAACAAATTAAACAGAGAAAATGCATATGTACTTGTTGAGCATGTAGCTGATGAAGAGCAAGCCAAGCATATTGAAAACATATTGAAAGTCTTAAAGATTAGTGTACTAACGTAGATTGAGGCATCCCTTTAGAATTCCTTGCTGACTTTGTTTAGTAAAGTTTGTAGAAGTGGCAGGTTTTCGAGCCAAGGCATGCAATCCTGTCTCCCCGTTTTCATCACGAGCAGTGGCCAACTCTGGGTGTTCTTCTAACAAATTCAAGGCAACATCTGGAGTACACAATTCAACTTCAGGGATAATCAGTTTTCAAAATAGTAATACAGCAAATGCAGCCTACATTATGCAGTCTTAGTCAGATATATTAAAAATCTAAGTGTATGTACACTAAATTTTTTTATCTGTGAATAAAGGGTTGGCAACCAGTCGTTAACTTTACGTTTACATTTTGGCTAGCTCATGATAGTCGTTAATTTTTTTAACATTCACAACTGAATATGAATTCATTAGCTTCATTTGGTCACAGTGCTTACCATAAATATCGGAGTTTATCAGAGTGACAAACAACTGTGTGCGGTCGTCATCTGACATGACATCAGTAGTGATTCTATAAAGGTATCTTACCATATTTCTATGGCCCAGATAAGCTGCCATGTGAAGAGGTAATTTGCCATCATTATTTCGGATCATTTCCACGGAATAAGACAATACATCAGGCCTAAATATCCCATCATGAATTTCGTGCACCACTAAGTTAAGGTTACTCGAAGCAATCACTTGGGCAAGTTCCACATTTCCTGTTGCAGCAGCAAGAAAAAATGCTGTATTTCCATCTGCATTCTTCATAGCTAAATCATATAAATTCATCTTCTTTGCCAGCTTTTTCACAAAAGCAATGTGCTCTGCTGATACTGAAATGTGGAGGGCAGTATCGCGTTCCTTTGTAATCCTAGCTGAAATTTCATTTGGATGTGCTCTATAAATATAGTCAGCCACCCGCCAATCACCTTTAAATGCAGCTCGGTACAATTTTAAGTGTCTAATTCTCGTTTCCACTGTCCATATTTGAACCAAGAGAAATTTTATCAATAATATGTTTAGAGTAATACTACACATACAATATTTTTATACAATATTTTTTATACAATATTATGCTGTAAAATATGATTAGTTAATTTTAAATTAAAAATAAACTTTCATCCGATCATCTTTTGTCACGTAATGTTGTATGTGTAGTATTATACATGTGTTTAATATTTTAAACAAAATATTTTTGGTTCTAGAAAGAAGGCATTTTAAAAATAAAACTTTTAACACTAAGGTTTGTTCTTATCTCTTTCTTCACCTATACTCTAATCTCATTTTTTTCTTCAACTCAATTATACATATAGAAAAAATCAAAGTGATTAATAAAATAATTGAGTAAGAATGCTTAAACATGGATTTTAAAATAAGTTATAGAAGAGATATAATCAACATCAACCCAAACTCCTTAGGATAATTATTATTAAATTAAAGTTATTGAAGTATAAAATTAATTATAAATTGAAGCGTATAAACTAATTTATCAACAAAGTGGTTTATAAATTAATAAAATTAATGTATAAATGGAAAAAAAAAAAAAATTACCGACTGATTCAGAAGAAGAAGATATAGAATTCGTTGGTGAAGAACCGAAACTTTCCCATTGTGTTTCATCTATCTCCTCAATAATTCCATCTGGTTCCACAATGGTCAAACAGTTGATAAGAAAGTTTCGAATAAAAAACAAGTTTTGTTAGCGGGAAATTTTTTTGATTGGTTAGGGGTATAATTTTGATACTTAATTTCATTTATTACAATTGTCAATGTATTTTAAAAACAGAGATAAATTTGTCAAATTAGTGATTGAAGTTTAAAAAGCTTTTTCATGGGGAAATCACTGTGTTCGGGTCTTTAGAATTTAGATGCATTTATTATTTTATTGAGGAAAACCTTTCAATTAAACTTAGGCTGACTTTATGATATTGAAGTCATATATTTTCCTAAAAATATGCAAAACAGGGAAAGAGAGAATAAAGTTATGCAAATTTATAAGGTTGTGACATAATTATATATAAGAAAATGTCTTCTTAATGATTTGAAAATAATTAAATGCATCAATGCCTTCAAGTCATTAATGTAGCCAAATTCAATGGTTCTTTTTTTTTTTTTTTTTTTTTTATAAGATAACCTTGATGACAGTAGAACGTTTTTTATGAGGAAAAAGACATCACACCTGATAAAATGAAACATAATGAGCCTTGACCTTTAAAACAAAAATACTTGTGCAGATAATTCAGGATTTAGATACCGAATAGGATCAGTGTGCATTTAGATATTAGAATATTGCTCACATTAACATTTTATTTTGGAAATACTAATTATAAAGCTATTATTATGAGACTTTTCTCTTGTTATTATTTGTTTAAAGGATACATCGATAAACAAGAAGAAACCGGGGCGGTAAAATGCTAAATTAATTCTAGCACGAACTGAATCGCCATTATTTTGTNGGGCATGTTTGGCTTATTATTTCTGCCCATATTCCCAATCTTATTCTCCAAATAATGTTTGGCACATTATTCCAGAAATATTACCCTATTTTTTTAATTACTTTTAGACCCCATAAGGTTATTAATTTCATTAAATACACCCTGAAAAAAAAAGTATAAAAATTATCAAAAACACCCTCGCGACCCATACTTGCCAGATTCCGGCAACCATCGTCGGTGGTAGCCGGAATCTGTACAACGGCCTACCTACCGACCAGAAATGGCCGAAAGTTCACCGATCTGGCCTTTTCCGGTCAGATCCACCACGGATCTGGCCAGAAAAGGCTAGATCTGTCCGTGAACGACGACCAAAGAAATGGCTGTCGTTGAGATCAACGAAGAACAAATCTTGGCCATCGTTGACCGAAAACGACGGGCATATCTTTGGCTGTTGCTGACGGCCAAAGATGGCCGTCGTTTTGGCCTTTTCCAACCATCGCGGCCACAACAAGCCGTAGATCTGGCCTTTTCTGGCCAGATCCGTGGTGAATCTGGCCAGAAAAGGCCATAAGGATGCGTTACGACACAGATCCGATCGGTCTGTGTCGTAACGCGATTTTTCGGCCAGATTTCGACAGTGGTGGTCGGAATCTGGCATTGCAGGTGGTGGGGGTGTTTTTGTCATTTTATATATTAGGGTATTTAATTAAATTAGCAAACCTAGGGGCTTTTTCATAAATTTTTAAATTTTATTTCGTAATACTCTCATATCCAATTATTCAATATTATTCTCAAAATCCTATCCAAAATAATAAACCAAACGTACCCAATTATTTCCATATTTCTTTTTAACTTTTTACTTTACTCTCAAACAATACATGAAACTCAACCAACTCCTCTCGGTGAGGACAAGTGATTTGATAAAAACTTTTTAATATATTATTGAATTAGTATTGAGTTCTAACTCTTTGTTGGTTGTTAATAAAGNTTATTATTTGTTTAAAGGATACATCGATAAACAAGAAGAAACCGGGGCGGTAAAATGCTAAATTAATTCTAGCACGAACTGAATCGCCATTATTTTGTATATTTTGGCTTAAAAAATTCCTACTCTTTGGATTTGAAATAGAAGAGCTGAATTGGCTCTGTAACATCATCGGGTCAGTACCGAAGAATTTTGGATATTCAAAAACTGAATCATAATTTAAAAAAAATAATAACACTAACAATAATAAACAAATTTATTTTCTTGTTTCATTGTAGAAATAATGAGTTACCTGCGGCCTGTTGTTCATCAGGAGCAACCACAATCTCCACATTTTCTCCGCTTTCCGGTGCAACAATAATGCTTGCGTTTTCATCATGATCAGCAGACATTCGTGGCAAACCTACAACAAATCAACTTCATACTGTCCGACGTCGGTTAACAAGATATTAAATAGGGTACTCAACAAGTTAACAAGATATTAAATATGTATTATCTGAAAGCTTTTTTTTCACTTACCTCCTTCTTGTAGTTACCGAAACTAAACTTTAGAATAATGAAAGCGCGCAAGTGCAGAGAGCGACAGAGAGAAGATAAGGAGCTCTGGGCTGGGAAAGATTTTAATTAACATACTCTTTCAAATGGAAAGCGGAATGATATTTTTAACAGCTCTGGTGGCATTGACCAAGAGGAAACTTCATAGTATATAGATACTCAATTGACGTGGAACCGTTAACCTACACTCATTCAAAGAGAAGTCAGATGATACCGACACCTATTCAAAGAGAAGGCTGATGATATTGACCAGGTGGAAATTTTGAAAACCTGTCGTTAATTAAAATTTTCAGGCAATATTATTATGTTACAGTTTTCGTAATGTCACCCGTCCTCAATACTGATTAATTCTTTTACTAGTGAGTTATGAGTGGATTGAAATCTTAAGTGGTTACGAACAATTCAAAAATAATAATAATAATAATATTTTACAGATAACATAAGAGGTATTTGTCTGAATTTATATGTTGATCGAACTAGTTTATAAGTTTTAAAATAAAGCTGACCTTTTTATTTATAATTTTTTTAAACTTATAAGTCAAAAGAAATAAGTTGGGGAGAAGGTATTTTTTTTGTCTTTTGGGTGCTTATAAGCTACTTTGATCAAATATATTACTATATTACCCATTTTTTATTTTAAAATTCTATTATATACCCTTATTTTTAATAATGTAGTACTATTTTTAGTCATTTTAATAATAAAATGTACTTATAAGTCATATTTTACCAAACGCATCAATAATTTATCAATCACTTATAAGTACTTTAACTAAACACGTAACTGCTTTAATTTTAAATGCTTATAAGCTAATTTTCATAAATTTAACCAAACAAACTCATAGATGTAGTGCATAATAAATAGATCAGTGCATTGTAAAAGTTAATAAAAATAAATATTGTTAAACGTAGATGAATGATGTGACACTATTCATCCTTATAAAACAGATTATATACATCATTTTTACGTGTATTTTCACTCTTTGTTTTGTTAGAGTTGTCGACTACTTCAGTATTAATGGGTTATGCAAACGCATTCGGGGGTCCTGCTATCCGGTCAGTGGGCAAGGGTCATGGGGATAGCGTCTTTGGGCCCGTAAGCAGTTTGGGCATTTTTCATATATAATCGCTAAAAGATTTCTTTAAGTTATTAATTTCTTATTGGGTTGGGCTTAGGAATATGAATCCTTGTAAAAATAGGTTTTGTCACTTTAAACCTATTATATAAACATATTTTTCTCTTGTTATGAGTGTGATAACAATCATAGGACAATTCATTCATTGTAAACGAGAGAGGTGAGGAAGTATTGCAATAATATTGACTTAGTTGGATGCAGTTTATATTGGGTAAACTAAGGTAAATTGTGCCTGTTATTTTCTCTTTGTTTACTGTCTGTGATTTGTTTTTATATTTGGTTCATGTTTAGTATAATAGGATAAATGCTATTTGGGAATTAAATAAAAGAAAAAAAGAAAAGAAAGAAATAAGAATACCGGTTAGAATGCTACTCCCAATGGGGATATTTTCTTGTACTAATCACTATCATAAAATTAATATAATTAGAGGGAAAGAAGCTTCTGTTTTCAATGGCCAGAGTTGAAAAAAAGGAAGGGAGCAAGTAACACGTCAATTTCCACTCGGTTTTGATTCGGTCACTGCTTAGTTATATCTCTGGTTATGCAAATTTTTATTATAATTGACTCGACCCAACAACCTTTAACCCGTGACTTAAATATTTACAGGTAACTAGATAAGTCGTGCCATCATGGGCTCCACTAATTGTTATTCTACGGCATTACAATTATTTATTGTTGACTGACTAGAATTTGCAGAATCTAAAATTTTAATTAGTTGGGAATCCCAATTATAGCCCAACAAAATGATTGACTGACTAGAATTTAGAAGTCACTGCAATGAAAGATCGTATCGTGGAGAATAATGTGTGGTCGAGCTCTAATGTGTCTAGTGGCCAAAGGACAGAACTAGAAATTTATTTAAAAGGCTTCCATTCAACCTTGAGACATAATAAAATAAATAATAAGAATAATAAAAAGCAAAAATAAGAGATTTACCCCTAGTATATTCGTTACATACATTTATAATTATTTTAATATATACTAATTGTATGGACAAAAAATCATAACGTGTCTTGTCAGGCCCAAACATGATACAAATGTTATACAGCCAAAAACCATGGTCCAACTCCGGTTGGACCCAAACCAAGATCCATTCCATAAGTCAGCCAATGCCATGAATTGGGTTACTTTGACGACATGGATCGTTTTTCGACCAAGGGCACTCACGAGTTGGGCCTTTTCACAAGCCCACTTGGCCTCTAGCCCATTAGCTCATTCTCACTTCCAAATAGCGTTTGGAGTCTTGTCACCTTTCTAATTCATCGAAGATCTCGAATCTTACATGAATTGATATTTTTGAATTGATAAAGGCGAGTAACCAATGTTTTAAAAACCAACCCGAGGTGAAACCCGACAAACTGGTTGAGTCCTAGGTTGATCGGTTCAATAGATGACATCATCATACTGATGTAAGCATGATGATGTTACCCCAAAAAAAAAAAAAAAAATCAGAATTCCAGATTACAAATTCCTAAAAAAATTCCTTAACAAAACATCATCAAACATCAAACATCTTACAACTAATTACAAATCAAAATAACAAAATTCATGAAGAAATCACATGATAATTAATGAACATTTTAGCAAAAAATTATTTCTTCACCCAATGATTTTCAATCCATCCTCAATTGAACTTCACCCACCATCTAACAGATGATCATCATCATTATTAACATCAACAACATCATCTACTGAAAATTCCAGCAAAAAAATGAAAACCATAAGTTTAAACTTCCCATTTTAAATTAATTGAATTTAAACTAGCTACCAAATTCAAATTGCTTAAAGAATTGGAAACAACCTTTTAAAGTATCTATTGAGTCATAATAAGAAGGGTGAACACCACCATCTACAGGAATAGGTCCATCTCCATATAATGATTGTTTCAATTCATCATAATTAAGTTCGCCAACCTCCTCTCCATCATCAACTACCCAAAATTCAGTTTTATCGATACTTTCATAATCAGTAAGATCAAAAGTAATTTTCTTATAATAACCCCTGAAAGACTAGAATTAAATGTTAAAATCATGATCAATAAAGACATCAAGGAAAATAAACGATAATAATTAATAATAAAAAGGATGAAGGCTTTATACCTATTTTGCAAACACAATTTATAATGAGTGAAAACAAGATCATTCAACTGTTGATGCTCCAATTTGTTTCTCTTTTTAGTATTTATATGTTCAAAAACACTAAATTTCGCTCACATACATCCCGAAGAAGCTAAAATTTGGCTTAGAATTTTGATTGCAAGCTTTTGCAAATTTGGTGCACAAAACCCAAATATCCTCCACCATTCATCTAATTGAGAATAAAACATAAGAAATAAACACAATTTCATAATTGAAAAATTAGACTTAACAATTTAATAACTATTTCATACTAGGATGTGTAGTTTTGCTAGTTTGAAGAGCAAGCTAACGGGAAAAGCTTGCTTGATGGTCTCGATATAATCTACTCTCCTCCAGTAAGATTGTCTTGTTCATTTTGAATTCACTTGCTCTATTCTCAATAGTGTCAAGGAAATCATAAATGACCTCTGGTTTGTGGGAAAAAAGTATCTTCGTCATATTTAAAAGCAGGATTCAAATAATAAGCTACTGCATTAATATTACAACGCAACATCTTATCCCAACGTATCTTAATAATTCATGTATAAGGCATGTACAAACTTTTTTTTATTCTTAAACAGCTTCTTGATCACCATCCTCGTTCGGTGTATGCAATCATACATATATCTTATTGAAGGCCTCTCATCTGAGTCTGCAATCTGAAGCATACACATCAATGAACTCACAACTTTGAAAATTGTACCAATATCACCCTAGATTTGGTTATCTAGAATTATGGAAACAAATTTTTTTGTCTTTATTAGTTTTTGCATATCGAGACTCCACAAAAACTCTATCTATCACCATAGATTGCAAGTCATGTTTGTGTTGATGTAGATTGCTCAATGCAATGAAAGTTGTAGCAAAACGGATTGCACCTAGGCGTACAATTTCTGTCCAACCCTATTCAAGTGATAGACAGTAGATGTTAGTACCTAGTAAATTATTAAAAAAAAAAAAATTGTATATATATAATATGACTTGACAATGTAAATTATAAACATATGAGATAAAGGTATATAATCTGTCTTTTCCTCACCAAAGCCACCACAAATGTATGATTATACACAAACTTTGTAACCTCAAATGCACATGTCAAAAGGTTAACTATGTGATTCATCTCAGCTATGTCTTTTAACATCAAATTAATGCAATGTGCTACACAGGGAGACCAAGTAATACTGTTATATTTTTCACACAACATTCTTTTAGCAGCTTTATAATTTGCTCTATTATTAGTGACGAGATGCACAATATTGCTTGGTCCAACCCATAAAGCTATTTCCTCAAACAAGCTGAAAAATGTCGCGACATCCTTTACAACATCTGAAGCATCCAATGATTTCACAAAGCAAACTCCTTTAGGACAGTACACTAGAAAATTAATCAATGACCTAAGTGAACTATCTGCCTAACCATCAGCCGTTAATGTACATCCAACATCCCCCCAAGTTTTTCTTGTAACCATCAACAAGTAATTGCACTTCTTTCTTAACATCTCTCAATAAATTTACACGCAAACTATGATAAGTTGGGAGTTTATACCCATGACCGAGGCTACAAACGAACCGAACACCCCTATTCGAAAATCGTTCAATAAGCACAAAAGG